GGGTAAAGGGGTGGGGTGGGGTGGTGCAAATATGGAAACGTTCGGAGGGGGGAAGGAGAGGAGGGCTGGAGATCCCCACCCCGCTACCACCTGTAACCAAAACTAAGCCCCCCTGTTCCTGCAACGGCAGACTGATGACGATTGTGCTAACCCATCCATCTTCATTCATTTCATGCTTTATGACACACAGGCTCCCAAACAACCCCAGACCCTACCTCGCGGGGCCGTCATGGCAGCCCAGCCCCACAAACAAACCGCTTTACAACCACTTGCCCCCCCCCAAAAAAACGCACATGCCCCAAAACACTGCACAAAACAGTGCACAATACCATATGCCCTCGCTCGTTGCACCCCAAACCCCACCGGGCCGGGTCGTAAAGGTTGAACTCCTGCAGGCGCCGAGCCACGAGCTGCAGCACAAAGCCGCCCGCGTACACAGGGACTGAGGGGTCCAGGGCGGGGATGACCCAGGGCAGGGCTCCGATATGGTCCTCGTGGCCTGGGGAGCGGGTGTGTTCGTGTGTATAGCACACATGAGTTCGGGTGTGCTTGTCTGTGCAAGCATGTAAGCGCGTGTGCTGCATGCGTGGGTTTGCGTGCCGTGCTCTTGTGCTGCGATCAGTGTTGATGACCAATAAGTTGAGCTCATGGCCCCCTCCGACCGCGTGCGTTCCGCCGCTGCATGCCCACGCCGTCGCTAGCAGCTGCGCAGCCACTGCTGCCCCGCCAAGTTGCTCGCCCGACGCACTTGCTAGCAGCAAGTCTGACCGGGCAAGCCCTCTGTGCTTGACAGTGGCCAGCGGTGCAGCCGCACCCCCCCTCCTTCACGCACCACCCGTTGACCGCCACAGCACCCTCAGCGGCTGGATTCCCGGTCATGGGAGGGCAACAACGTGGGGAGTAACCCTGGGGCCGCTCACCGTGCGTGATAACGACGGCCTCAATCTTGTCGCGCCACTGCGCCAGGAAGGACACGTCTGGCAGGATCTTCTGCATGCCCAGGTCGGCAAAGCTGCGAGTGTGCAATGATTTTGGGGGGTGCGTGTGTGTGTGTGTGTGTGTGCGTGTGTGTGTGTGTCTGCGCGTGCGCGCGTGTGTGTGAATGAATGGTGTGTACATGTGGTGTGTGTGGTGCGGTGTGGTGTGTGTACAGCATGTGTGTTTGCGTGCGTGCGTGTGTGCGTGTGTGTAATGGGCGGATGTGTACACAGGTGAATCCGCAGGGCAGCAAGGGGGCCACCGTCGCTGCCACTTGCTGTGCCGCTGCCTTAGGTGGCAGGCGCCACCCCCCTCCTCCTCCCCGCGCCCTCGCCTCGCCAGCGTCACGACTACACCAAGAG